CCGAAACACTGGAGCGTGCCACCATGGGGCAGCCCTATCACCCCGCTTTCCCCATGGTAGGCACTGATGAGGAGGAAAAGGGCTCTGGAGCATTTAGGTACAAAGTCAGCCCTGCCCTCAAAACTCAAAATAAAGCAAGTCACATGATGTTTCAAAACAGCTGACTGAAATGAAATCAGAGCTAAACTGGGAAAACAACAGGCTATCAGAGATTATCTTTAAAAGCTGATTTTATGAAGCAAGTACAATAACAGAAGATGTGGTGAGCTTGGGTTTGCATGGGTGTGGAAGGACAATCAACCTAACAGAATCTGAGATGCTGAAACAAGAAAATCCTATGAATGAATGTGCTGGAGAGCAGGTGGAAAAAACAAGAGTCAGATGGTTATATAGCTTGTCTGCCTATCATGACAGAGGAAATATTCTTAAACAACTTGATGAAGAACTGAAAGGAGGGATTCCTGAAGATACAGGAATTTGCATTGGTAGTGTTGCCAGTGTGCCAGTTCACAGCATCCCAACTCTTTGGAGCCGGAAGTAAAATTGAAATTTGACCTTGACCTGGCAATAATATTAGGGGGAGTATTGAGGGAGTAAAGACACCAACCAAATGAACTGACAGGTTTGCCATGATAATAAAACCAAACAAGTCAAGGATTTGAATACATTTAAAAGATCTTCTCAAAGCCAGAAAATGTGCGCTCTACTTCCTGGGAGCTGATGAGGAGGTCACGTCTAGACTTCAAAAAGCAAAGGCATGGGTGTGGTGCAAGTAAATATACTTTGGTCAAAACACAACATATAAAGTGCCTCACACATTTTCTCAGGCAGATATTTAACTGAATTCCTTTTAGACCACGAGTATGTACTTGATGAGCATGAAAGCATCAAGTTTGCCACAGGACTCTGACATTTGAAAGCAGTGTTATAGATGCTTCTAAGGTTCCAGAAATTATTATAAAATTGCAAAATTACTGGATGACATGCCCAGTATGGAGCTTTTACTGGTGCACAGATTTTCAGTAATTTGCATGTAAAGAAAATGCAAGAAGCTGCAGGAAGATGTGCTTGGAGTCCTGTATAATTTCAGTATGACCCACTTCTGTAATAGACTTAAACAGTCTCAAATAAGATGCATCAATGAACTAGTCTTAGTGAAACTTAAGAGCACAATTCCAAAAGGAGAAACTCTGAAAAAGAGAAACTCTCCCACCTTGCAGGATAAAATCATACTGACAATACCAAAATGAAACTACAAGAGAGTGCAACTCTGGGTACAGGAGGCTATGCAATAGTACCATCATGCAAAATGAGGTCAGAAATACTGAACAGAATTTGCAGTATCCATCTGGCTCTCTGCAAGATGAGGGACTGAAAAAAAAAATCCTACTGTGGTCAGGCAAATGCTGTCGTTCAAGATAAGGAATCCAAGTACAAATTCTACAATAAATACAGAAAATTATGCAAAAGAACTTTGGAAGCCTTAAGAGACCTGTGATTGCTGTTGATACAGATACATTTGGACTAAACAGGAAAGATGAATTATTAATAATTTTTAACTTGTTACAAAACATGCTGAATAACAGTGTAAAACACTCTAAATCACAGTTTACATGTCCTGGATTCCAGATGAGCTAATACCAGATAACGGCCTGCATTTCACAAATGACTTATTTCAGCAATTTGCTTGAGAAATTAGATCAAGCACACTAAAGCAAGTCCTTATTAGGCACTGCCACATGGACTAACAAGAAGACTGTTCAGTAAATATAATAAAGAACCAGAGGTCCAAGTAAACCACGTCTGGTCTTGTTAGATTATCACAGTATACTTTTCAGTGCTCCATGGAGATTTCCCGTTCAAAGAATTATGGGCAATAAAGGACAAATCCCATAGATATGGCAAGCCAGGAATGTTTAATCATTACAGAATTTCTATTTATCTAGAAATTAAAACAGAGCAAATGTTACAAACATAACCAAGACAAGTAGTGTTGCAAATGGAAGAGAAAGTTAGATTTCAGGCTGATTATATGGCTACCAATTTAACACAGTCTACTCTCATCTAAAATAATGTCAGATGTCATAAGCCTCCCAAAGCATTTTTCTCTTCATTGGATCAGAGAAAAAGCTAAAGAAAGCTGAGAGGCAGTCTGGCTCCATGCATTTTGAGGACCAGTAGGATGGTATCTTGACAGCACTTGTGCCATGACAGAAGTAACAAGTTTGTACTCAAACACTGTCAAGCAATAAAAAGGTTCAAATTAAAAGATTGGTTGGCTGCAGAAGGAACGACTATGTAACATATGACAGTCTGAAAACATTGATAGCTACTGCTTTTTAGATTAGATGGCTCTAATTGTGTATTTTATTAACTGCTTCAGTTTGTAGATGTTACCTTATGCACATTTGCTGTTAAAAGAAATCAGGAAAGGTGTAGTAGTTGCCACTGACTTGCACAAAACAAGGATGAGAGCAACCTTTTGTAACCCTGATCCACGTGCCTACACTGGAGCAGAAAATGTTTGATCTCCTTCCAACACATCTTTATTAAAAATATCACGCATCTTGACAGAATTTGGCAGATAAAATAATCTGGTGCATCTCATTTCAATTAGTTTCAGATTCCAACTGCTGGATCTTGTTATTATTTTATTTATGCTACTATCAGATAGCTTCTCCTTGCATAGGTACTTCCACACTGTGTTCATGTCAATTATAAACCTTCTGTTAAACAGTTTCAAGCAATTGGCTTTTTGTGGCATGCTGTGTTTTTCTTGTTTTTCAGACCTTGAGTCACTCTTGTAGCTCTTCTGCAAACCTCTCGCAATCTTTCCACGTCCCTCTTTAATATGGACACCAGACTAGGATGTCCAGAAATAGCTTTGCTTTGCCCAGATAACCCCACCTCATGCTCTTATTGCATATTCCCATCAAAACTGGCACATTTAGCAGCCGCAGTGCACTGAGAGCTCCTGTGCAGCTGGGTGATCCCAGCAACCGTGATCCCAGAGACCTTTCCAGAGCCGCTGCTTTCCAAGAGGCAGCCTCTCGTTCTATGAGGATGACTGGCACTTTTTGTTCCCAGTTGCATGACCTTGAATCTGTCTCCACTGAAACGCATATTGTTTGAGCATACCAAAAGATGACTTTGTAAGCTACGAGTGACCCAACCCATTATGCATGGTTACACTGAGTCGTGTTTCACATGAAAACTTTTATCAGCCATCTTTCAAATCACTGACAAACTAGTAAATAACATTAAGTCAATAACTAATCTCTGCAGCTGCACTAGAAACTCTCCCATGTATAATGATAAGTTCCAGTTAGTAAACAAGACTTAGCTAGTTTCTAATACATTTTTCTGTATTTACTTAGTATAGTCCTAATGTTTTAATCTGAATGTTGTGCTGTAGTAAGTTAAATACCACACAGATATCTGAGCATATTACAGTAACGTAGCCCCTGTGCAAACTAAGCTTTTAATTACATAAGAAATACCAAGCTAATTTGGCAGACTCAGTGCCCATAAAGTATTGACACCCACAAGAAACCATTTACAGACATCCCCAGACAGACCAGCGTGTGCTTGCACAAGGTACTAGCAGACTTCAAATGCGTTTGTGGGCACCGAGGGCGCTAATGTCTATCTCACCAGCACCAACAGCGCTGGAACGTAAATACTTGTTACTCAAGCACTAAACTCCTCTTCCGGGACTACAGAAGCTTCCCTGTATTTCACACTCTTAGCTGTGTCACACCACAGTACAGATAAACAGGCGACCAAGTGCATTGAAATGATATCTCCATGGGGGGCAAAAAACCAGTCAAACCAAAACCACTAGCAGAGAAAAGAAGAGAGAACAGAAGTACTGCTGTTCACCTTGAGATGTTCACTCAGCACCATGTCTGGGACTTCACTCTCATACCCTTAAAGTCACTGTGTGCCATGAAACCTGCAGGTGATAGAAAGTTGGATGGCATCTCTGGTAAGGAAGGCTGGAAGACTACATGGGAAATGTTGGATGACCTTGAGGGCTGGTGCAGTAGAAATGAGAAGAAGCTCAAAAGCACAGAGTGCCAGGGCATGTACCTGGGGACCAATAAACAGAACCTCTGCTGTAAATTGGGAGATCATTAGTAGGAAATTACAAAGGAGGAGAAAGGCCTGGATGTATTATCCAACTGAAGGATCTTCAGTGGGTCTTCAGTGTGATGCAGCATGAAAAAAGGCAAATATAACCACAAATACTTCAGGCAAGGGATTTCCAGCAGGAAAGCGAACTGTTATGCCACTATACAAAGCATTGGTCAGAACTTGTTTGGGAACAGTCCTTCTCATCCTTAGTAGAAAAAGGCAAATACAAACAAAAACAGGTGGCAGAAAGGGCTGCTGGATTGATAACTGGTCTTCCAGAGAAAAGTTTACAAGAACATAGAATATGTAAAGTGGTAAAAGGAAAACAGAGGATACCATTACTCTTCACAGATAAATCAGAGAAAGAAATGAGACACTTTAAGTTTATATTTGACTCAAGAACAACTGACGAGGAATAAATATAGGTTAAAACTTTGAGCACAGTTTCTAGTTACCAAAGTGTCCCACTATGAAATAGGGTAGCGGTGGGAATAGCATCTGCATAATCTTCAGATTTTTATTACTAACTTTTATTACGTTTAAGCATGATGGTGTTATTTGCAACAATAGAGCACTGGACTAAACAACTAAGGCGACCACTTCCAGTCCTCTGACTTACAGACACTGTTTTGTGATAGAACTAACACGTAACTGTGGTTGGGTTATCCTTGATGTACACCAGAAGGTGGCTGAAATGAAAGCAAGTCCAGATCACCTAAAACAACTCTGAAGACTTGTTTTCAGTAACTTAGAAAAGGAGGGACATGTGGAAAGATGGAACATGAAAACAAGGAAAAGAACACATTTCTTCAGACACCAACATCCTTACCTCCCATGAGGAAGAGAAGCCCTGCCACATACTGCATAAGGCCTCGATCCCAACAGCACCCCAGCACCCCGATAATCCATCCAAAGAGTATGATGGCCACAGCCATGCCCATGAAGCCAGCTGTCATCCTGCGCAAATCTGCAGTGGGGAAGACAGAAAAACAGCATGCTTGTGAACAGTGATAAATTATCAACATTAGAGGTTCATAACAGTCTTAATCCAAAATGCTACCGATCTGCAAGGTCTTCAGTGTGTGTTGGCATAGGATGATTTGAGTAAGGATGGTTCAGAGGGAGGACAATCCATAAATTAAGATAGTAGCTTGGGCTGGGGAGAGGGAGAAGGTGACCATTTCACCACACAACGAAGCTCAGTGCAGATGCAACAAGTGACTTGTGTCAATTTGCTCAGGAATTAGAAGTTGTAAAATGGACTCAGTGCAATGCTGTGCCTAATAACTCTGGTGTCTGGGTACTAGCACAACTTTGTCTAAATCCTGCCTTCACATCTGCATTCTTTAGTCCACTGCATCCAATGGATGTGCCTGCTCAAACTGATACGCAAAGCGGTCTCTGTGCTTTCCTCTACTGCAGACATGACAGGGGATTCACCTCGGTTCTGACTCCCTGTGTGATTTTGGGAAGTCACTGATCCCCTCTGGGCCGCAGCTTCCCGTGTGTAAGTCGGGGCGTAGAGCCTCGCTGTCCAGCGGTGTTGTGTGTGAAGCTGGGTACCTCCAGGATGGCGAGGCATGCAGATATTCTGGTGTCAGAGATAATAAATGCACTGCAGATACACGGCTGGGGCACAGGACACTTTATTTGCCTCTCTTGTATCTAGATGATGACCTTGTTAGATGATTTTTGGTGAGGATGTTTTTGAGTGCTCCAGGGAGCACTGGGCAGAGGAGGAGGGCAGCGGGCTGGAGTGAAGCATTTTGTGTTCTGCAAGTGGGGACTGAGTACTGCATCTGATATGGCTGCATGGGCTTGATCTGTATTTATTTCATAAATAAAGAAAAAAATCCCCAAGACCTAATGTAAAGAACTCTTAAATTAAGACCTTGCTATATCCCATATTTGCCTTCTGCAAAAAGGATGGCACTGCTGGGATCTCTGCTCCTGCATCTTCACATCTGTTTTTGATGTGAAACCTGGGCAGGGAGACCACCTGGCAACCAAAATAGCAAGGACTGTGAGAGCTGAAGAGCATCTTTACGCCCTCAAATAATGGAACAGATGGAGGCATCTTCACTAACATTTGATTGTTCCCTGTCCCCCCTCATGCACGCATAGAAAGTTTAAGCACTGATATGTCAAGACTATATGTGCTGGGAAAATTCCAGCCAAGTCAGTTCTCCAAACATTTGTTTCCTTCTTGAAACAATTTTTTTTTTTTTTTTTTTCCATAGCAATGATTTCACTTTCTTTCAAGAAACAGAATGCTTATGATGGGGGCAGAAAGACTTGGAAACTGTGAATCATCCACCAGTCTCAGTGGCAGCCTTTCTCCTTGGCTGGACTTTGTTTCTCAATTGCTGTTATTTTTTTTACCCTTTTTCCACAGTGGATCAAAAGGACCACCAATACCAGCAGTGCAGATTCAGTGAAATTTGTGAACAGTGATAAATTAGCATCATCAGAGACACATAAACCTCCTTATCCAAAATGCTAAGTGTCCACGAGGTCTATAGGTGTGCTGGGACAGAATGATTTGTTTCAGTGGAAGGTAGTTTACTCAGAGCTGTGTTCATTAAAGCAATTCTTATGCAAGATCGAGTTGCAGAACACAACCCCTCCCTTGCAACTATAACCGGTTCCTGTAGATTGTCACTATTTTTTGCAAGGAGCCCCTCTGACAACATAAGGATTACCAGGCCTTCAGCCTACTGGTGACCAGGGCCCTTTTAACAAGATACACATCTTCAATTTCATATTTTTATCTTCGGTTTTGTGATTGTTCCACCAAAAGAACCAAACAAAAACTTCCCACAAAGCATTGATATTTTCAAGGAGGTCTGGTGCAGAAAAAGTTTCCTGCAGAAACTCGTATGTCCCACAGGCAACGCTAGTCCCTGTTCACTGAGAATTTCTCAGAGTGCTTTCTAAAACAAGCAGTAAATGTGAGTAAGCATCTTTGATGGCAGAATGTCTTCCTACTTTTCAGTCCGTGAAGGCCTGGGTTCAATTTGAAAGATAGATTAAAAACGTAAAATGTTTACTGTTTCCTATGTCATCTTCAATAACAGCACAACACGTCTCTCAGAAGTGCCACACAGCTGTCTGTGTCAGCTCTGCAAGACCCTTCCATTGTGACTGCTGACTCTGGGTAACAGCACTTGCTCATCCTAATGGAAACATAACCTAAGAACTTGCTTTTAATTAGCTGAATTTAAGTAGCTTTATTCAGCTACAAGATGTCAGTAACTCCTCACACCTACCCCAATGACGAGCTGATGGAGCCAGTTTTCACAGGTCCCAGAAGGGATCACAAGCATCCTCACATCCTATATGCCAAACTAAGGAATGGATTTTACCCCTCTGAAATCAGTGTGAGTTTTGCCATTGAACAGAAAAGTTAAAATAGCAGGACCAAGATTTCTAGGCCCAATTTTGAAGTTTGTTTCACTTGACCTCTCTTTCTGATGGAACCTGAAATTCCTTTTCTAACAACACAGCAAAATCCATCAGCATCTTAACTCTGGGCTTACATTATCTCTTGAATAAAACAGAAAGCTAACCTCTGCCAGACACTTAATACCACATATAAAGAAATTCAAAATTGAAATTCTTTAAGAAATCCTAGTTCTCGCAAATTCAGTGGGCTCACTTTAAGATTGCCACTGCTTAGGCTACTTGCAAATCTGCTCCTCACAAGCCCATCCATTAGAGCTTATTTGAAATAAATAAAACACAAACTTTCTTTTCTATTCAAAACCATCTTGGGTTTTGTCCTGTCATAACCTTCCTTGAGGGCAGCCCTTGCTAATAGCAGTGCTGGGAAAGGGGGTTGCAAAGTTGGTTTCATATACAGCCTGCGCTTGTCCAACAGCATCTTCCCAGTGCTCCTCACCTGTCAGAGTCCACATGAAGCTGAGGTCAGTGCTGGGAACAAGACTACTCTAAGTGATTCTTTTGTGGGAAGGTATTTAATGTATGTAACCAACCCTCAGGCTGTTTAGTGAGGAGAAGGGGCAGGGAACAGGAGCCTTCTTTTCTGGACACAAACCCCCATTAGTGGTACATTTTATGATTACTATTCTGTTGGTGTGGTGCTCCACATGGAAAGGACAGGAGAAAAGCAAAGATTTGCATTGTGTACTCGAGGCAATATATAAATTTCTTCTGCTAATTTAGGAGCAAGGGATGCCATATAAATATAAACAACAGCTCATCAGTACAAATTGGTGAGGTTTTGTCTGAGTTTGATTGGCACTGATAAGACCTTTCGTGAATACATCCTGCAAAGGTAAAAAGGGTCATGCTTTTTCATGTAACACCACTTTATGAAATCTGAGCACATCCTGAGTTTGCTTTTTTCAATTTTTCTGAAATTGCTTTTATTTATTTTTAGATTATGAAATGAATGGTTCTCCACACTCGTTCTTTCTTAGAGAACCTCTCTGAGTAACTACAGCATCCCAGAATCATGGCATGACAATCTCAGTCAACCAAAGGAGTGACTATGCCAGCAAAATGCATTGTTGAATCTTACCCAGCCAAATAGGAGCTGCAACGGCAAACACCTTATCTGATCTCAGTCATGTGCACTGCTTAGCTGGTTTTACAGCTGATCCTCTCCTGGATACCCATCCCAAGTTCTCACACTGTAGCAAAGTGTACAGATTGCAGTGGTACCATGAATTCCCCTTCTCCACCATCTAGTAACCCAAACCTTTAGAAATGTAGCTACAGGGCACAAGTAAGGAATGTATTACACTACTTGTTCTGTAAGACCAATAATGCAGAAGTTGATTTTCAATGCCTGTTTGACCAGTAGTTTCAATGTTTTACTACACAGACTTAGATATCCCCATCACTTGTGGGTGAAAGTGCAATATTATCTTTCCACTCGTGTTTTAGAGACACCGTTTTCATCCCATTTTCTTTTTTTATATTAACAGACTAAAAGCTATGTGTCAATATCTTCCCCTTGGCAGTACTTTCCATGCCTAGCACTACTAGAGGTGCTGCTGCATGTAATAGGCAGGGAACTCAATCCTGATTCAAAAACAACGTGGATCATCAGGCATCATGTTCATGTAGGCTGGAAACAACAAATTTCTTGATTGATAACATTGGAGAAGGGACAGGGAATGAAGTAATCCAGTTCCCATGACTGAAACTGAAATGGTAAATTTGAAAGCCACAAACTTCATGAATCGTGATGAAAAGAGAAACATTAGCATTTTAGACAACCTCCTTAAAACAGAGACAGATTCTCATAAAACAACATGCACTTCCTAAAAGCATTTTAGTCTTCCGCTGGAGAATATTAACTCTAAAGGTTTTCTGAAGATAAAGAAAAGCAGAAGAGCTGATTAAGATCTGTTTATTTCCTAGCAGCATGTGGTAGAAGGTTCTCTCTGTCTGTTTGCAAATGCCCCTGCCCTTCATTTCACCCTGATATCTGTCCATCTGTATTTGTTATGAGCAATAAAGTAATTCATGCTGGTTGTCACATCGTGGAAGAAGTTTCACACCCCAGCAGCTGCAAACATAACATTTTTGGAATGAGCGTTGCTTCTTGAAAAATTCAATATGCCTTTTTGACTTCTGATGCTCTGTCCTCTTCCTTGAAATTGCAAGTCATCTTTCTAAAGCAAGGGCTCAGTTCTCCTGTTGATACCTATCTTCCTTTCCACAGAGGAGTTTAATACTACTTCCAAAATATTAGAGATTTCTTTCCTCACAACACGTACAGGAAGGAAAATATGAGCCTCTTGTGAACGATAGGGAAACCAAGACAAGGTGAGAATAGTCAACCTTCCCATGGCTACATGAAAAGTTTGCAGAGGAGCGTATAATTGAATCTATCTTACCTGGATTTCTGGCTGGCCCTTTAACCACACAGCACTGCTATTGCTTTCAGAAGTGCTTGTTCTCAAGTGTTTGCTACCAGATCAAACCA